TTTTTTTTTTGGTAGCCAGCCACGGTATCCGTAGTTATGCCCCAACTAATCCGTTGGTCGATTCGGGTCGCTCACCTGGCAATGGTGGGTGAGTATCCCAACAAGGGTTTTTTGTATTCACAAAGACTCGAACCCGAGACTTTGCTTAAGCGACATCAAGTTGCTTATCACTTGAGCCAACACTTTTTAGTGAATTTTTCAAGTTTTAACCTATCATAGTATATGCTACAAAAGTCAAAAGGTCCATAGTATATGCTACAAAAGTCAAAAGGTCCATGATTTTGCCTAGGAAATTATTTACTGATAGATTTCAACTTTTAAAGGTTTTAGCTAATAGCAAAGAGAACCCAAATGTTATTATTTCAAAATTACGTGAATACCTTTTCTTTCTTTTATTTTTTAGGTAAAATTGTAATTTTGGTCTTGTTGGTTTGATATAATAATATTTTTTGTCCTAAGAATTGAATATTTTTGCTATTTGATCGTATTATTTTATAAATTTCAATGCAATTTCAGTCCTAAGAATTGAATATTTTTGCTATTTAGTCATAGATTTTTAAATTTCAATGTAATTTCAGTCCTTTGGTGCTGAAAATGCAACAAAATTTAAAATTACAAGACATAAATTGCTAATAAAAAAACTTTTGGATGGATTTATTGTTAGCAATTTAAGTCCTGTAATTTAAAATTTTGTTGCAATTTCAGTCCCAAATGATTGAACTTGCAGCAAAATACTAAATTACAAGATCAAAAAATAAAAAGTTTAAATCTTAGGTTAAAAAATGTTACAGCGTTAAACCACATGACTAAAAATGTAATTTTGCCTATTTTTTATCTCAAGGTAATATTATTTCTATTATTATGTTACCAAAATCCAACAACTACGGGCTCTTTGATTCATCAACTTGTGTTTGTACTACTGTTTGACAGTAGCCTTGTTTTTTGGACTAAACAACCTATAGTATTATTCCCTTATTTTCTTCTTTTATTAGACTAAAATATAAGGATTGTGATTTATCACATTAATTTTTTTTTTTTTTTTTTTT